CAAACCACACTACAGTGACAGAATTCATTCTCTTGGGACTCACAGACGACCCTGTCCTGGAGAAGATCCTGTTTGGGGTGTTTCTGGTGATCTACATGATCACGCTGGCAGGCAATCTCTGCATGATTATGCTGATCAGGACCAATTCTCACCTCCAAACACCCATGTACTTCTTCCTTAGCCACCTCTCCTTCGTGGACATTTGCTATTCCTCCAATATCACTCCAAATATGCTGCACAACTTCGTCTCCGACCAGAAGACCATCTCCTATGCTGGATGCTTCACACAGTGTCTTCTCTTCATTGCCCTGGTGATCACTGAGTTTTATATCCTTGCTTCGATGGCATTGGATCGCTATGTAGCCATTTGTAGCCCTCTACATTACACTAGCAGAATGTCTAAGAATGTTTGTATCTCTCTAGTCATGGTGTCTTATACTTGTGGTTTCCTTAATGGACTCTCCCAGACACTGCTGACTTTTCACTTGTCCTTCTGTGGCTCCCTTGAAATCAATCATTTCTACTGTGCAGATCCTCCTCTGTTAATGTTGGCCTGCTCTGACACTTATGTCAAAAAGATGGCGATGTTGGTAGTCGCTGGCTTGACTCTGTCAAGCTCTCTCTTCATCATTGTCCTTTCCTACCTTCTCATTATTGCAGCCATCTTGAGGATCCGTTCTGCTGAAGGCAGGCACAAGGCCTTTTCTACTTGTGGTTCCCACTTGACAACAGTCACCCTATTTTATGGAACCCTCTTCTGCATGTACTTAAGGACCCCATCTGAGAAGTCTGTGGAGGAGTCCAAAATAATTGCAGTCTTTTATACTTTCTTGAGCCCAATGTTGAACCCATTGATTTATAGTCTACGGAACAAGGATGTGGTTCATGCTATGCAGCAAATCATTCAGGGAAATCTCTTTCATAAAACTGCAGTGTAGCATCTCTTCATTGTAATTACTGAGTGTCTATAATAACATAGTGGTCCCTTCACAGGACAAACCTACTACTCTACAGTCATAATGTAGCTTCATAAACTCTCAAAGGCATTAGCAAATTTCTCCTCAAAATTAATAGCTTCAGGACAAATTGTTTTCATAGAAACTGTAATGTTGAAATTAAACACCATTTTCCTTAGCAAAAAATATCAGAATATAATTTGGTGTTATTCCAATAATTACATAAAATATTTCAATGTCTTTACTTATTTTAGGGTAAGTATTAGAATTAATTCAGTCTGATAGGAACACTGGAAATCCATCTTCTTTGATCATATGGTCTACAGAGGCATAGTAAGGTTCAAACTGGAGTGTTTAGGTTTATACTTAAAAAGAATATGAGAGGTGTCTGGGTGGCTCAGTCCGTTAAATGTCTGACTCTTGAATTTGGGCCAGGTCGTGATCTCATGGTTGTGAGGCTGAGACCTGCATCTAGCTCTGTGCTGGGTGTGGAACCTGCTTAAGATTCTCTCTCTCCCTCTTTCCCCTGTCCCTCCACTACTCTTGTTCTAGCTCTCTCTTAAATAAATAAATAAATAAATAAATAAATACATAAATAACAAAATAAAAAATGTGAAATAATCTATTCTTCAATGAATGATATAGAGCAATGGTTCTGAGGCCTGAGGAATCACTGGACTGACCTTGGGGAAATTTTAAATATATGGATCCTTCATTGTATTATGCTTTCTATGTATTTTTCCTAACCAATTTTGTAGACATCTTGATAAACTTTTTGTCTTATTGTAAATACTGTTTATGCTCCTTAATCTTGAAAATAAACTGTGAATACTTGCTTGTAAGTTTCCATAATTATGGATCCAAATCTATCATAGTATAATAGCAATGTAGGTATATTTTTTCATGTAGTAATTCTGACTTAGGTATAATTTATTCAGAGTTAATAGAATCTATCAATTGGCTTTTATAGACCTGAGAATGCCTTGGAACAGTCTAAAGATGAGTGGCATGTCTATATATTTCTGGAGGAAAACACCTGATGTTTACTTTGCTTCGTAAAAGTGTCTGTGACCAATTATTTGGCAGAGAAGGCTCTTTACACTGGTTCTCAAAATTTCTCTTGTGAAAATTAATAGTAAAGGAGATTATATGAAGATGTACCTAATTCATCCAGATTAACACATGAACGTATGCGTTATTAATTGTCTTAAATGTTTGGTATTCTAATATTGTGCACTCTCGTTTTAACTAAGACCACCGCACTAAACATTTATATAAAACAATTGCTGTATTTACGGTAATGTACTCAAATGGTTTTCCAGAACCATATTTAAATGACCTGCAGTTTTAGTAAGTTAGACTACATTTCTTCCATCTCATTGGAGTGAATAAGGCTGGTATTATCAAACATGGTTGCTGTACATAAATAACAATATAGACAGATATTAGGGAGCAACGTTTATTGGTGAGATGTCCTAAGCCAATGGGTGACATCTGTTTGTATTTTGTTATATTTTTCTCAATGAATTGATATTCATACATGTTCTTATAATTCCACATGCAAGTTTGAACACTGATTTTCACTTGCTAGTATAACGTTTGTATTTTCATATACACTGAAGATTCTCAGTGAACATCACTTTTAAAGTAGTATAAATCACGAAATTCTATCATACTTGAACTTCGTTACAAAAATATTACATACCAATTGTAGAAAAGAAAGTTGAAAAATACGAAAGGATTTTTCCATTTTGGAATAAAATTCAATTTCAATTTTGAAATAAAAGCAAAATTTAGTTATAAACTCTTACTAAAAATGTATTTGGTGCACTTTATCTGTATATAGTTTTCTTTGCAAGCCATTATTCCATCATATTGTTGTATCCTATTATTGTTAAGACTGACTCATATCTCTACGAACATACCTGATTTTTTCTTAGAATGGAGAATTGCTGCATGAAATGCACCAAACAATCTTAGAGTATATCATTTAAAATTCCTTGCTCCTTCATTGTTGCAACTGAAACTCTTAGGAAAGGATCTGTTTTAATTGGAACAGAAGAAGAATTGAAATACACATTTAACTAATAATAAAGGAAATGATTGCTGTTGGTGTTATTTCTGATGATTCCTTAAATGAAGATTATTTACCTTTTTATTTAGAAAAAGTTTTGAATTTTATTTTGCTTTGTGGCTTTTTGCATCCTAATATTAAATGTTAGCATCTCTTGTGTGTTATTAATAGTATTTCATGGCCATATATTATAGGAATATCTTAAATTATTCTAAATACAATTTTGTTGCATGCTGTACTATTGTATAACCTTTTCCTTCATATTTTAACCCATTTCCTCTTAATATTTTTAAGAAACCCTTCATTTTTTAAATTTTTTTAATTTTTTAACGTTTATTTATTTTTTTGAGATAGAGAGAGACAGAGCATGAACGGCGGAGGGTCAGAGAGAGAAGGAGACACAGAATCTGAAACAGGCTCCAGGCTCTGAGCTGTCAGCACAGAACCTGACGCGGGGCTCGAACTCATGGACGGCGAGATCATGACCTGAGCTGAAGTCGGTTGCTTAACCGACTGAGCCACACAGGCGCCCCAAGAAACCTTTCATTTTCCAGGAAATTTGTGATTTTATCTTCCTTATATAATTAGATGCATCTGTTTCTATTTCTTCTTTGACATACCTGTGTATGTATTTTAACTTCTTACAATTAATGTAGGTTTAAAATGTTTTAATTCCTGATAAAATAAAATTCCATCTTCATTATTTTTCCCTTCAAAAATTATTACAGGAAATGAAAATCAGATGCTTCTAGTTATCCAATATATATATTTTATTTATTTATTTTTTTAAATTTTTTTTAACGTTTTTATTTATTTTTGAGACAGAGAGAGACACAGCATGAACGGGGGAGGGGCAGAGAGAGAGGGAGACACAGAATCGGAAACAGGCTCCAGGCTCTGAGCCATCAGCCCAGAGCCCGACGCGAGGCTCGAACTCACGGACCGCGAGATCGTGACCTGGCTGAAGTCGGACGCTTAACCGACTGCGCCACCCAGGCGCCCCTCCAATATATGTATTTTAAAAGATAATTTATTTATTTGAGATATAGAGTGCGAGCAAGGGAAGGGCAAAGAGAGAGAGAGAGAGCATCCTAAACAGGCTCAGTGTTGTCAGTGCAGAGCCGATGTGGTGCTGGATCCCATGAACTCTGAGACCATGACATGAGCCAAAATCAAGAGCTGGGTGCTTAACCGACTGAGCCACCCAGGTGCCCCTAGATAGCCAATATTTTTAACCTAGCATTTATGCATATGCTGGTTTAATTTATGAAATATATGAGAACATATAAATAAAAATCGAATGTGGCTATACATATAATACATATCTCTTTTAAATTGTTTGAATAATGTGGAAACACGTTGGTGTGAGTAGCCTTGTTAAAGTCTGATCCCCGTGTCTGATCGGAAGATGTAGGGAATTATAGCATAGAGAGGTCTGCTGAGGTGTAAAAAGGTGAGTTAAGTTTTTTTTGCCAGAAAGGCAGAGAGGTGCTGGTGGCCTATAAATGAGGAGCGAGAATGTGGTTTTATATATAAACACTGTGCGTTAATTAATATGACTTTTAAATGTTTATTTATTTTTGAAAGACAGAGAGAGAGAGACAGAGAGAAAGAGAGAGCATGAGGGGTGGGGGGCAGAGAGAGAGAACGACCCAGAATCTGAAGCAGGCTCTAGGCTCCCAGCTGTCAGCACAGAGCCCCATGAGGCGCGAGAATCCACAACCACGAAATCGTGACCTGAACTGAAGTCAGATATTTAACCAACTGAGCTACCTAGGTATCCCCATTAACTAACACTTTTACATGAACCTTAATTTTTGTACTGTACCAGTGTCCAAAATGCTGCATATTTTTCAACAGATCCATAAACACAGAACCTTATCCTTAGATGAATTTTCCTTCTGCCAACAACTGTTCCCCCAACGACTGACATGCCCATACCTACTCCTCAACGGTGAGCCATTCACTGAAAAAAATTCTTGTTGATTACAATTATAATAAATATTGACAATTCAACAAGCAGAAGACAATATCTCTGAGATTAGTAGCAGTGTAAGAAATTCAAGATAAAAAGTCACTCTATTTTGATGATAAAATATTTAAAATAAGCAGCACTCAACAATTGAGCAACGATTTTGCCACAAACACAATAAAGTGGCAAAAGCATTAAAGTCTGATAAGTTCCTAGAAATCAGTTGGAGCACTGATCCCCAACATGTAAAGAAATGTTGCAAGTTGTGAATATAAATTTGCTAAAAATTTAAAATGCTAAAAATGGATGAGTGACAAGCTTGGTAATAAAACCATGAAATAAGACACCCTTTTCTGTATGTATGTTGAAAAGAGTTCGAAAGGACTGGTACGTTCACATATTGTTGAGTCAAGGAAAATAATAATATACACTTTTTCTGTAAATCAATTTACCATTAAGTTTTTAAGAGTCTTAAAAAATGTTGGTCCACTTTGGGGCACCTGGGTGCCCCTGTTGGTTAAACATCTGACATTTAATTTTGGCTCCGGTCATGATCTCATGCTTCATGAGATCCAGCTCTACGTTGGGCTCTGCTCTGAAGGTGCAGAGAATGCTTGGGATTCTCTTTCTCCCCCACTCACTAGTCCTCCCCCACTGATGCTCTCTGTCTCTGTCTTTCTCTCTTTCAAAATAAATAAATAAACTTAGAAAAATGTCCACTGTTATTCAACTCTTCCAATTTAAGAATATGCTGAAGGCATAATAAGACATAGGGGAGTGTTTTCATAAGAATGTTTGCTTTGGAATTGAGAAAAAGGCAACAAAGGCTTATGAAATACAGGCCACCCTCACATTGCAGGTTACCCTGTTCACTGAAACTTATGCAGAATGCAAATGTGTCCTGCTTCCTAACAGTCACAGTCACCTCAGCACTGT